GATGGATGGAAGGATGGATGGATCAAAGGATGGATGGAAGGATGGATAAAGGGAAGGATCTCGACAGGGAGATCATTCCAGAGGGCTGGAGCTGCTGCTTTAGTAATTAGTTGTAATCTTTTTTATCATTGCAGTATCCCTGAGTTTTGTGATTTTGCCCAAGGTTTTGTAAGTGAAGTGAGTCTCATGATTTTCACCATTTTAAGTGAGCAGTTTTATGTCTGTCAAACATTCAAGGACTACCTGTATGCTTTTAAAAATCCATATGGTCCTTGCCTCTTGGAATTAACAGCTATATGGAGCCTGACGCTTATTTTTCATGTAGAGATATTTTTTATGATTGTTACTTTTTTTTCTGTGTGCCATTCTGGCCTCCTCAAAAGAAAGAGCAATATACAAATAAATAAAACAAATAAATGTTTGTCTGTTGCTTCCAATTTAGTCCAAGAGAATGGGGAAGTATGGTATCCTATGGATTCATAATGACCCGTCTTCATCCAGTGTTGAAGAATTATAAAAGAAATGTACCTATTTAGACATCCAACAAAAAATTATGTGGCTCTGGGTGCACCTTCAAGATTATTGAGTTGCAACCTAAACAATTTTCTTTGAAGGAATCCTTTCCTTTGTTTGCTATTTATGAACTATTGCACCCCTTATTTAATTTTGTCAGAAAATATGTGATTTGAAACAATTTGCAGATACTGGGACAGCAGATTTTTACTGCCACCCTGTGGAATGAATATGACAATATTCATTTAAGTTCATCCATCCTGTCTCCCCCCCCCCCCCAGCCAGGGTATTGCTTTTCTCACTGTTGTCTTTATTTTAGGGTGTGTCAGTGAGATGTTCATTAAATCAAGCCCTCAAAAATTGCATGTGACACACTCTAGAAAAGCATCCCACAGAAATTCCTGACATTGTTATTTCTCATGAGGTGCATATGGAATCTTGTCAGACTAGCTAATTATGTGTTGAAAACTTGCTCTCCTTCATTATATCTCATGACTTCTCCCATTTTCTTGGGAGGCTTTATAAAACTGGAGCTTTGAAACTGCCCAGTTTTCCTTATTTTCCACCTTCCACCTAGGCTACAGACTAGAAGTACTATTCACACCACACCTCACAGTAATTTTTGCTTTCCTTTTTGTAATGAATGATGGTAATTACAGTTTTTCCTGCCTGGATAGGCAGGGTGTGTAATTTAATCCTGGTTAGCTGCCCACTGTTACCCCTAATCTTCCTTAGATGTCTCACTATGTAGGCTACCTCATTATATTTTGCTTCAGATACGATCTCAGGAAAGATTTATATGTAATATAATCTTGATTATTTCAATCTCTGTTCAGAGTTGCACGCTGCAAGATCCTATTTCATATAAACCCAGCAGGTACAGCCTTTATTCATGCTATAAAATACAAATAAAAATATAGAATGGGTATCTTTTCTCTAATGACACTT